AACCGCCTCCCACAGAGGTTGTCTCGATGATCTGGTGACCCCTTAATGGATGCTATCTCTGCCTGAAGGTCCTGAATCTTGACATCCTGAGCGTCCTGCCTATTCTGAACCTCCGTGATCGACGTTTGCATGGATGTCAACTTGATCTTAGTTTGTTTGCTCGCCCGCTTCATAGTATTGACCAATTGTTTCTGAGGATCGGCTGGGTCATACTCTTCACTTTCGGATGACCCTTGAACTACCTGGTCATCCTGCCCCTCACCCATGGAATCATCTGCCGCGTTCTCACGCGGCCTACGTATGTCATCTGGCATGATGTCGACCGTTCGAGCATACCGATTAATCACCCTGCGCCTGCGCTTGACTGGAAAAAACTCAGGATAATAGTTTATACCCAGCTCAACAAATAATCGAACTCACCCTTGGCGCGGCTTCAAATTCGTTGTTACACACACGTGATGAAATGAGGTCAACTGCTGTCAACTGAAAGCTCACACCGGGAGAGTGTACACACTATCACGCAACAAGAAATGCAGCAATGAGAACGATGCACCGTCAATCAAGTGAACACAATTCGACAATAACCCAACTGTTGTCAACTAAATGCTCACACCGAAACAAGTGTACACGATATCAAGCAACAACATATGCAGCACTGACAACGGTGCGCACCGTCGATGAAGTGAATGCACTTCGACAACAGCAAATACCAGAAGACCTTCCGACGTATCCAATCCACAGGACACACGATGTGCACGGTCAGCAGAGCGTGCGCCATCAATATCCTCTCCGAGAGAGGCACCATGCAGCACGATGTGACTCAGTGTCCACAGTCAGCAGAACCCAAGTGGGGACTGATGGCACAATGCCGCTCGAGGAGGCCTCCGACGGCGGCGCCCAGCCTCCAGATCACGAGGGGGAGGATGCCAGCTTGCCACCCGAGACCTCGTAGAGCTCCGCACACGCGTGAGAACGTACTGAGTACAAGAAACAGCTCCCTTGAACATCAGCTTGAAGACTCGAAATCTGTAGCCTTTCGGTTTCGTACGAAGTTGGTTTCGCCGAGTGTTCTGATAGTGATACTGCAGCTACGGACCTGAGAATTTGACCAGCGGGCGTGGCATGACCTACTACAGGTTGAAATCAGACTGGTTCTCAAAACGAATTTTCAAATCTCTCAGAATCTTCAAAAAAAAACGACCCCGGATTGTCAGATTGTCCGCCCTGGCCGGGTCGGTGAACTAGCTCCACCCCGCGCCCGAATTCCCTTAGCTCATCGCACCGAACAGCTCTACGAGGCATGAGGAAGGAAGAGCTGGAGGAGGAAATGCAGTGAGAAAGCATGGACGGCGGAGTGGGCCGAACAATCATGAGGACGAGGACGACGAAGCAGAAGAGCCATTTTTCAATTGCAGATTGACTTCATCCCCGTCCTGACTCCCCCTCCTCCACGTTCTCCTTCTGACGCCCCCTTCAACTTTACCTCGTCCCTCTTGCCTTCTCGCCTTCTCGCCGCGCGTCCTCGTCCTCCTCCTCGTCCGCGCGCGTCGTCCGAATCACTCCCCCTCCTCCACCTCCTCCTTCATCTCCTCCTCTTCCTCCTCCTTCCTCTCCTCTTTGCTTTCCCCATCCTACGTTTCCCGTGTTCCTATCCAGTGCTCTCCTAATTTTCGTTTCGTCGTTGTCATCCATCCCATTCGTAGTTTTTGTCGTCGTCTCTCATTTCTTCGCTTCTTATCGCTCTGCGACTTCCCGTTGTCCCTATCCCGTTGTTCATTGCTTCGGCCAGTATCATAGGTCTTGATGAATGTATGCATGTCTGTGTTTATATATATATATATATATAGCGGTGTGAGGGGGCCGAACGGTCATTCACTATCCTAAGGGCGCTTGGCCGAATGGAGGTTTTGCGGTGCCGTTTTTGTTTCGTTGTTGCTTTGTTTGTTGTTGTTGTTGTTGTTGCTGGGCTCGCACCTTGTGTTTTGTCAAAGAAAGTCTTCCTGCTCAAACCGGCCCCCTGCCCCCTGGACTACAACAACAACGGCTCCCGCCTGAGACTTCCTCACAATTTAGCCAGGACCCCGCTCCCGCCCGAGACTTCCTCGCATTTTATTCAAGAATCGCGCTCTCGCTATGGACTTCCTTACGATTTATTCAGGAGTCGCTCTCCGGGCGCTCTGGAGTCGCGCTTTCGCTGGAGACTTGCTTGCAATTTACCATAGAATAGCGCCCTTGCGTTGGAATTTATCGCAGTTTACTCAAGCCCCGCGCTCCCGACACCCAGGCGCCCAGGAGTCGCGCTCACGCTTATGATTCCCTCGCAGATTACCGAGGATCTCGCTGCCCTTCGTGGCCCCGTTGCAGCCCTTCGTGGCCCCCTCGCTTTGTTTCGTGGCCCCGCTGCAGCCCTTCGTGGCCCCCTCGCTGCCCTTCGTGGCCCCGTTGCTGCCCCTCGTGGCCTCCTCGCTGCCCTTCGTGGCCCCGCTGCAGCCTTTCGTGGCCCCTTTGTTTCGTGGCCCCGTTGCAACCCTTCGTGGCCCCCTCGTTGCCCTTCGTGGCCCCGTCGCAGCCCTTCGTGGCCCCGTTGCAACCCTTCGTGGCCCCTTCGCTGCCCTTCGTGGCCCCGTTGCGGCCCTTCGTGGTCCCCTCGCTGCCCTTCGTGGCCCCATATATGTATGCCCTTCGTGGCCCCCGCTCGTTCGCGCCCGTGGTTGCCCCATATGCATGCCCTTCGTGGCCCCGCTGTCGCCCTTCGTGGCCCCCTCGCTGCCCTTCGTGGCCCCGTTGCTGCCCTCAGTGGCCCCGTTCTTGCCCTCCGCGGCCTAATATACGTATTCCCTTCGTGGCCCCCGCTCGTTCGCGCCGGTTTTGGCCCCATGTGCATGCCCTTCGTGGCCCCGCTGTCGCCGTTGCGGCCCTTCGTGGCCCCCTCGCAGCCCTTCGTGGCCCCGTTGCAACCCTTCGTGGCCCCCTCGCTGCCCTTCGTGGCCCCGTTGCGGCCCTTCGTGGCCCCCTCGCTGCCCTTCGTGGCCCCATATATGTATGCCCTTCGTGGCCCCCGCTCGTTCGCGCCCGTGGTTGCCCCATGTGCATGCCCTTCGTGGCCCCGCTGTCGCCGTGCGTGGCCCCCTTACTGTCCTACATGGCCCAATTGCTACCTTCAGTGGCCCCATCGTTGCCTTCAGTGGCCCCGCATTATCTGCCTTTCGTGGCCCCCGCTCATTCGCGCTCTTCGTGGCCCCATACGCATTCCCTTCGTGTTCCCGCTGTCGCCCTTCGTGGCCTACTTCGTGTCCTTCGTGGCCCTGCTGTTGTTCTCTCTCGCTCTCGCTTTCGCTCGTCGTCGTCGTCGCCGTCGTTGTCGTCGTCGTCGCCGTCGTCGTCGACGTCGTCGTCCTCGTCGTGGTCGGTCCCCTGTCCGTCCCTCTGGGGGTCGGGTCGACGGTCCGCGGCCGCCCCGCCGATCAGCGCTGCCGCTGGCCAGGTCGACGGTCCGCGGCCGCCCCGCCGCTTGCCGGGGCCCGGCCTGCAGGGAAGAAAGGTATACCCCCAAAAGGGGTTCCATCGAAGACGGAGAGGGCGGGTATCGAGGGTTTGGGAAATACTCGTTGTTGGACACTCGAGCAGATAAGGGCGAACAGTCTTAAAATGTTTGTTGTTGTTGTTGTCGTCGTTGTTGTTGTTGTTGTTGTTGTTGTTGTTGTTGTATTTCTTGTTGTTGTTGTTGTTGTTGCTGTTGTTGTTGTTGTCGTCGTCGTTGTCGTTGTTTTTGTTGTTGTTGTTGTTGTTGTTGTTGTTGTTGTTGTTGTTGTTGTTGTTGTTGTTGTTGTTGTTGTGTGGTGGTGGTGGTGGTGGTGGTGGTGGTGGTGGTGGTGGTGGTTGTTGTTGTTGTTGTTGTTGTTGCTGTTGTTGTTGTTTATTGTTTGTTGTCGTCGTCCCCCGCGACCCACCCCGCGACCCACCCCGCGACCCACCCGCGACCCACCCGCGACCCACCCCGCGACCCAACCGCGACACTCCCGCGACCCACCCGCGACCCACCCACGACCCCCCCGCGACCCGGCCAACGACCCAGCCGCGAACCACCTGCGACCCACCTCGCGATCCGCCCGCGACCCACCCGCGACCCATCCGCGACCCGGCCCGCGACCTGGCCCGCGACCGGGCCCGCGACTCACTGGTGACCCACCCGCGACCCACCCGCGACCTACCCACGTTGCTTTAACGAAAGAATCGGCGCCTGCGGCTGGCTCGTTGTACAATTTTCAAAAATATGGCGCCTGCGGCGGGCTTCCTCAGAGCCTCGCAGACAGCCGACGTCCCCGCCACCCTTTTACTTGTGTCCGCAACTGCGAGATGCTACGTATGTATGTGTACGTATGTATCTGTGTGTATAGATTTACATGTATACGTCGGTGTGTGTATATATACACAGTTGTACAGATACATATATATATATGTATATATACATATTTATATATGTATATATACATATATATATATATATATCATCAGTTACGTGAATACGCGCGTCCATGCATCCATTTATCCATCGATCTGTCCATCCTTCCATGCATACACACATGTTTATATACATAAATACATACATGCATACATCTGTTCGTACCTACCTACCTACCTACCTACCTACCTACCTACCTGCATACATACATACATACACACAAACATACATGCATACATACATACATACATACATGCATGCATGCATGCATACATACATACATGCATACACACGTACATATGTACTTATTTACACACGCACCGCTGCAGACCAGTCAACATTTGGGGCCTCCAGGCTAATGCAGTAAAGGAAAGCTCTTTCGTTTGAAACGCAGTTGGGAAAACGTGTGACACCAGCGTGTTGTCCACTCTCCAGGTCGGCAGATGCCCCTCTTGGGCGTTCTGAGTACTAGAGCCTTTCGTTTCAATCTCCCTCGCATGGGGACCCCAAAGGGTTCGACGGACTGCAGTAGGCGTGG